GTCGTTTCCCGACAAAATAACTTAACCTTTAAATTTAGTTCAATTTCGGCGGAAAATCCACCTCCCCTTCAACGTAAGGAAGGAGGGGGGGCTTGCGACTATATTCACAGTCTTGAAACGAATATAGCCTCAAAATTTAGGTCACTTTTGGCGGAAAATACGGAAAGAGGGGAGGAGGGAGGACTTTCGGCCCTATTCAGTTTTGAAACGAACATAACCTCAAAATTAATGTCATTTTTGGCGGAGAGGGAGGAAGTGCGGCTATATTTAGAGGCTTGAAACGAACATAACTTCAAAATTTAGGTGATTTTTGGTGGGAAATACGGAGGTTTTTGGGGTCGCTGATTGCGAATTTAAAGTCAGTTTTTCAAAATTCAAAATGTCGGATTCAATATGGCGGATAGGAAAATTAAAAATCAATACAATTTACAAATATCAGATTGGTAAACAGTGACCCTGAAAACCCCTGACTAACGAGTTTCAAGCATAACCGTCAAATTTAAAAAAATATATCCGCCATATTGGTTCCGCCATTTTGAATTTTGAAAAAGTATCATCAGATTTGTAATCAGCGACTCCAAAAACCCCCGAGTAATGATTTTTAAGCACTACCGAAGGATTTTTTTAAATTCTTTTGCCATGATTGGATCGGTCATTTTGAATTTTGATAAACGAAAACCGGATTTGTAAATATTAAATATATATTATTAGCTTCATTTTCCTCCCCTAGTGTCCGTAGGACCTTGTTGTTGGTGGGGAGGCGTACGAATTTATTTGAGCACCTTCTCCGGACCCCATTCTTTTCCTCGCTATTCTGCGGGGGCCTGCTCTCGTGAGGGAGGGACCGTCCGGAAGTTAGGGGAAATTGAATGGTGAGGATGCGACTCTTGACGGGCAGAAATGATCACCACCAGAAGTGGAGGATTTAGGTGCTCGGGTAGATTCAACCGAGAAAAGGCCCCTCCATTTTCTTGAGGGGCGAGGAATCTGGAGTAAGAAGGCGCGAGTCTTCTAGCCCCCCAATCCAAGATATTTTCGCCATGTCGATGGATGAATGGTACCAGTGTTACCAAATTCATCTCGCTCTTGCGGAGGGTTGGCGCGAGCGTGGGTTGGCTTTCAGTCTCGCACATGTTTAGCACTCGTAAAGTTCGGGTGGCGACGGTGCCGGGCTGGGTCGATCTGTAGTCGCTCTGGCGTTCTGCGGGGTCTTGCTGAAGGTATCGCAAACGGAGACTGAAAGACACCAGACGAAATCTCAGTAGTATTTAATCTTATCCTTGCATAAGGAGATCTGTGAGGATGGACCTTCTGTTCCCCTGTACTCGTGGGATCTATATGAATACTACAGACAATGACAATATAAGTGTTTCGCCCGAGAATACCGAACACTCTTCAGAGAATCAGGTGTCAGGGACGGAGATTTTGCGCAGGAAGAAAGGGCACCCTTAACGGTACATTTAACCTCGTCAATTTCGCCTCACAACGAAATGGAACCTGAAAGGGAACCATTAAGTTCTCAGGCTCTGACGCAGAGCAGTTAAGGACCGTCCCATGCTTCCACTGTTCCTGTGGTTGAAGACCTAATGGCGAGAATATCCGTTAAAGGTAAAAAGCTCAGTGGCAGCGCACAAAGAAGGCTGAAAAGGCTTAGGGAGCAGAACCGGCAAGGGTCTCAACCTGCTTCATCCTCGACTTCTATGCCTGATAAAAGCAAAGCCGGATCTGTCGGTCAGGACACGAAAAAGCGTCCGCGCCAACAAGACTCAGACGCTTCTCCACAACAGGAGAAGAGAAGGAGGCAGGGACCCTTGGTAGGAACCGCCTCTTTCTCGTAAGTGGCAAGATCGTCTCTTTCGGGAGCGATTATTGCGGAGGGGTACCCGGAGGTTGGGCTGACTCTTGATCAGCTAGGTCTATTTAGGGTATCCATCTTTAATGAAATCACGCGGTCCACGGCTGAGACTGCACCTCGTTTTGGTGAAGTTCGCCTCGTAGAAGGGGCGATATTAATCAAGTACCTGGACTCTGACTCTAGGGAGTGGTTAGATGCCTACGTACCGGAAATCAGTCAGCCAATAGAGGGTGTGTCACTTAAAGTGACAGATCCTTCCAACCTCATTAAGAGGGTCAGGGCGACAGCTTGGGTACCAGGTCGAAAAGAGGACCAGGCTGCAGTCCTGACTAACCTCAGGAGACAGAATCCTGGGCTGGATACAACTAATTGGAGGTTGTATCCGGGTGGCGAGAAAACAGACTCAGGCGTAGTCTCTACGGCTGCAGGCTGGATTCTCGCGGTGGGTGTGCCAGAGACTCAGCTGAGTGTGCTCCAGTCTCTTCACTACAAACTGTGTCTCGGTCTTGGGCAGATCACTCTTAGGGTGAGTAAGCACAGAACGGACACGGTGAGTGGTGGACAAGGCACGAGTAGGAAAGCAACGGAGGTTTCCGAGGGTCAGTCCTAAACTTGACGGGCCACGGAATCCAATGTTCGCAGATTAACTTGCATCACTGTAAAAGCGCAACGGCAATTCTAGCCAAGAGCTTGACAGCGATGCATACAGCTATTGCCTTTATTCAAGAACCTTGGGTTTACAAGGGTAAGATTAAAGGTTTGAGTAACTGTGGGGAGGCAGTGAGTTCACCACAGGAATTGGCACCCAGGGAGTGTATCGCCTATAAGGGAGTAAATGCGTTTCCTCTTTTAGAGTTAACTAGTCGAGATCTGACAGTTATAAAAGTCATGTATAGAGATAAAAATGGAAGTAACAAAGAGGTGATTGTTGCCTTTGGTTACTTTCCGGGATCATAAAATGAACCTTCACCACCGGAAGAGGTGTTAAGACTGGTGGAGTACTGTCATCAGGAGGGACTTTTTCTGATTCTGGGTTGTGATGCCAACGCACACCATGTTATTTGGGGAAGTACAGACATCAATGATAGGGGTGTGAAACTTCTAGACTTTCTAGTTGATTCAGACCTAGATTTCCTTAATCAGGGAAACAGCAAAAAAAAATTTTCTGCAGGATTCAATAACACTGGAACTCCCGAAGGTGAGTTCTTTGAAGGTGAGAACGCGACGGGGGGTTAAGTGGATAGGCGGGACGGACAGCAGCACTCTTAAAACAGGAGCGTTCGATTTTAGTGTTCCATAAGCCCCCGTAGTCGCAATTTAATAACTAAATGAAGAATGTTACAATCAAAATTTTTGAGTATGTACTCATTATAATTGAAAATAAATATTAATTATAATCAGAACACAAAATTTATCAATTTTTGTGTACATAAGTACCACAAATTCCAATGACACATTATATTCCTCTATACTATACTACGTACGGCCCTGAGTGTTTACAATATTTGACCGCCAAACGGCTTGAAGGTTGAATTCTGAAGGTGAGAACCAAGTCTTTTCCATTCTTACCTTCGGGAGTTCCAGTGTATTTCCGCTTTTGAGAGAAACTGTAACCCAAAAAGACTTGAAACTAGCGGGAAAACTACTTGGTGGAATGCTGAGTTGGAAAGTCTTAGAGGTAAGGTGAAAAAGTTGCTGCATAGAGCAAAGGAGAGTAGGAATTAACAGGCATGGGCTTTGTACCATAACGCTCGTAATTCCTATAAGAAAGGGATAGACAAGGCTAGAGCATCCGGCTGGAGGAGCTTTTGCGAAGGTATTGAGATGATACCAGAAGCATCTAGACTTCATAAAATTCTAGCCAGAGATGCCACAGCTAAGCTATCTTCAATTAAGCTACCTAACGGACGATTCGCCCGTGACAGAGCTGAGTACCTGAAGCATCTTGTAGGAATTAATTTCCCAGACTTCAGAGAATCAGAGCAGAGCAATGGGGATCGGAATCCACGTAAATCTCGTCCTGGACGAGAACACTGGAAGCTTGCATCCGACATTGTGACTCTGGAAAAGATTGATTGGGCTTTAGGCCGGTTTAAGCCATTTAAGGCACCAGGGGGAGACGGCATATATCCGGTTCTCTTACAAAAAGGACTGTGGTATGTTCGTTTACCTTTGGTTAAAATCATGAGAGCAAGTATAGCTCTAGGTTACACTCCTGAGGCATGGAAAATGACCAGAGTAGTGTTTATTCCGAAGGCTGGGCGTTCTGGTTATACAGCAGCCAAAGACTTCAGGTTGATCAGTTTAACCTCCTTTATCCTTAAGGCGTTGGAAAAACTGATAGATACTACTGATTCTACTGATAGATACTACTGATTCTACTGATAGAATAACTGATGGAAGTACCATTACATCCGGGACAGCACGCGTATAGAGCAGGCTGTTCTGTAGAAACAGCCCTTTATTCAGTGATTAGCAGAATTGAGGAAGAGTTAGACTCCGGGGGTTATGCGGTGGGCACTTTTCTAGATATAGAGGGTGCTTTCCCTAACACTTGTAGTCAAGCAATATGCAATGCGGCTAAAAGATGTGGCATACCAGATCCACTGATTAGGTGGATTAAAGGTATGCTCCATAATAGAGCCCTGGAAGCAGAGTATGGAGAGGCCAAAATAAATGGCCTAATTTCCTACGGTTGCCCACAAGGCGGAGTTTTATCTCCTCTATTGTGGAGCTTGGTGGCAGACAAGTTACTAGTAGAACTCAACGGTCAAGGATTTTATACGCAAAGCTATGCGGATGATTACCTGATAATTGTAAGAGGTCTCTCGTTGGATACACTCTTGGAATTGACAGAGAGGGCATTAGGCATCGTCAAGAGATGGTGTGAACGAACTGGCCTCTCTGTTAATCCAGAAAAGACGGATATGGTTATCTTTACTAGGAAATACAAGATTCCTATTGTGAGAAAACCTGTATTTTATGGAAAAGACGTGTCTTTTTCCGATTTGGTTAAATATCTAGGAGTGGTTCTGGATAAGAAGCTGATCTGGAGAAAGCACTTAAGTATCAATATAGTAGGTTTTGCACTACTTTTTGGGTTTGCAGAAGAGCTATTGGATCAGCTTGTGGTCTAAAACCGGATATGGTTCAGTGGCTCTATTGTATGATCCTGTTGCCAAGGTTTCTGCATGCATCAGTTGTTTGGTGGATTAGAAGCCAGTTGAAAACGGTGAAATTGAAACTTGGACAACTGCAAGCAATGGTGTTTAGAGGGGTTACTGGAGGTATGAGAACCATGCCATCTTCTGCGTTAGGTTTCTTTTTGGCGGAGAAACCCCTACACATTTTAACGGTTAACAAGGCTGCTCTCACAATGATCAGACTTCAAGCACAGGGGAAATGGAAAGCTAGGGAAAAACATACAAAATTCCCGGCCTCTATACTAAATATCCCAGAAATCAATATGGGACAGGATAGAATGGTCAAAAGAGTGAAATTCAAACCTCGCTTTAAGACCATTATTCCTTCGAGAAAAGATTGGGAAAAGGGCTGTCCACTTGGATGTGAACTTTGGTTTACGGATGGATCCAAGATGGAAAGAGGCACTGATTTGGGTGTATACTGTAAGTCTAATGCAACTAAAGTGACATTATCTTTAGGCCATTACACCACGGTTTGGCAGGCAGAAGTCTGTGCTGTAATGACTTGCGCAATGATTTGCCTTGAAAAAGGAAAGTCTAGTAAGAGAATTAATATCTGTGTCGATAGTCAGGCGGCTTTAAACGCCTTGAGAAATCCGACTATAGAGTCAAAACTAGTTTTGGAATGTCGGAAGGTATTGGACGAGATAGGTTTGAAAAATAAGCTCTCATTAATCTGGGTACCAGGACACTCGGGAATCAGAGGAAATGAAGAAGCAGATACCTTAGCCCGTAGAGGGTCTGAGATGACTATGATAGGCCCGGAGCCGGCGGTAGTCATTATGCCAAGTGCGGTGAAAGGGGCCATTGAAAGATGGTCTAGAAGATGTCACGAGAGAGTGGGCGGAGACTACTGTAGGTAGACAGGCCAAGGCTCTGTTGGGATTAAAACTCAACAGGGGCTTTGCCGAGTCTCTTCTAAAACTCAACAAGATCAGAGTTAGAGCAGTGGTCAGGCTACTCACGGGACATGGCCTCCTGAACTACCATCAGCACAAAATAGGTAGAAACGTTTCACCTAGATGCAGATTGTGTGACGCGGAAGAGGAATCTTCTACTCATATATTATGTCACTGTCCAGCTTACGCTGCAATGAGACATCAATGCTGGGACCATGCCTTGTAAACCCAGATAGGATTTGCGACCTCTCGGTAGAAGAGTTACTGGACTTTTGAAATAAGACAGGACTCTAAAGAGGGAGACTAGGTTCAAGCTTACCGGGATTAAGTGCAATGGATCTTGCGACTTAAGTACCAACACTCGTACTAGGGGACTTCGGTATAAGCTTATTTTAGATTAGATTAGATAAGCTTCATTTTCTTTAGATTCCTTAAAGCCTTAGTGCAGCGTAGATTATGGCAACCCTGCTCACAGTGACATGACGCAGTGGTTTGCGCGCGTCACAATAAAAAATTCGTTTAATACACTTCTAGTGGAAAATACAAATTTTTTCTTTTTGGAACTTAAAGAGGAGACTGCCATGTACACTTCATTTAAGTTTCATCACAATCAGAGGGATAGAACACATAAATAATGTAAATTGTTTATAAAATTGTTATTAAAAATATCGAATTTTTAAGTTTACAATTGTGCAATTATGTTGGTTGAAAAGAGGAAAATTTTTATATAATCAGTATAAGTTTCATTAATTTATTGCAAACAGTTGTTGAGTTATTAATTTTTCTTTAAAATGTTGTTAAATTTTTTTTATGCAAAAAAAACTAACAAAAATTTAAAATTTCAAAAAACGGTTAAAAGTGTTTTTTTGTTTTATTATAAACTACAGATTTTCATAAAAGTTTTAACATTTTAGAAAATCAATGAAAATTTGTTGCCACGGTTGTCCTCGAGTATATACCCAGATAACAAACGTGTCTGGAACGTTACAGGCACAACGAGCGGCAAACCGTGTCCCTGCTGTAAAGCCGGTTCTCAAATGGGCACGTTTGTAAGCGAACGTGAACGTGTACGTGCTGACGTCACAATGTTGTGCAAGTGGGTAACGTCAGCACGGTACGTACACGTTCACGTACAAACGTGTCCATTGTAGAACCGACTTAACGCACCTTTTGTGCCACCTACTTTTTGACAAGACCGACTGTGCCAGCATCGTGCTCGCAATATTCCTAACATATTATCCGGATCTTTTGTCCAGGATATATCTGCCAATAGGCTTGTTTAAATTTCTGTTTTTGAATCTTCATTATAAATAAGAGAAAATAACAATATTTATTAAAAAATAATTCACAAATTTTTAAAAATGTAGAATACTTTTTAAAATACCTAAAAAATCATGAATAAAAAATTTAAAAAGTAAAGTAAATTATTAAAAAGATGAGAAAAATATAAGCCAACAAATTTTTAATAAATTAAGCAGTTTAATAAGTATAAAAATCCTAGTAACTTAAGTTTTGTAAAACACACTATAGAAATGTTAAGAAAAGAAAATTCTTAAAATATCAGAAAGTTATGGAGATTATTCATAAAATGAAGAAGTTTAAAAAATGTAAGAACAAAGCTTTAAAGAACGAAAAAAGCTTAAAATATTTAAAAATGCCCAAAACAAAAACTAAACAGCTTTAAATTTTAAAAAAAATTATGAAATGTTAAAAATTGTATAAAATAAAATGTTGTAAGAAAATAGAAAATTTATAAACGAATATAAAAAGAATCTGAAAATTAAAAAAAATTGAAATGATTTACAGAAATATTTTTAAAAAATTAAAGAAAATGTTATAACAGAACGAAAAACTATTGAAATATAGGAACGATTGGGAAATTTGTAAAAATACAGGAAAAAATGCAAAAAAAAACTGACTAGAATCTATTAAAAAAGAATAATATAAGGAAAAAGTTATTCAGTTTAGAGAAGGGACAACATTTCTAAGAAATGAAAAAATTATGAAAAACTATAAAATTTATTAAATGAGCAAAGAATGATAAAAAATTATAAAGGAACTTAACAACAAAATGAGAAAATAACGTAAAAACACACACTGCACATGATATTTTCTAAATATTTCTGAAATATTTCATTGAAATTTTGAAATATTCCAATGTAAAGTCCTTGAAATATTGATGAAATTAGGGAAATGTCCGCCTATAAGTAATATTGCCGTGTAATTTTGCTTAAATATTTCATTAAAATATTATAGAAAAATTCCAACTTAAATGATGCTAAGGATCCTAAGGTGTTGAACATGTTAGAAAATAACGATTGATTTCATATTTTAAAAAAGTTTCTAACTTTCTTTGAAATATTTTCTGAATATTGCAGAGTCTTCATTTGTAATATTGCAGGAGTCTTAATGTGTAATATTTCAGCAAAATTTCACGGCAATATTTCTTATAGGCGGACATTTTCCTGCTTTCATCAACATTTCATGAACCTTGCATTGAAATATTTCAAATCTTTCAATTAAATATTCATGAAATGTTTATGAAATATAATGTGATGTGTGGGAAAAAAAGAAAATCCTTAAAAAAATTAAACGATTAACAGAAAAGTTTTTTAAAAATTGTACTAAATATTAAACAAATAAAAATTCATGAAACGAATTGAATTAATTGAATAATAAATTGAAAATTGGATGGAATAAATTTTAAAAAAACTATGAAAACTTTTAATAAAGCTAATAAGTTTGACTTCGAAATATTTATTTTGTCTTACTTTAACAAAAAAATAAATTAATGAATTAATAAAATAAAGATAGATTTAATTATTAATGTTACATTGAGAATTTATATCGATGGCTCCTAAATGAAAACACGTTATTCGCGAGAGCAAACAAAAAACACCCTTATTTACGAAAAAAAATAGAAAACTCATCTGAAAATTTTGTAACCTAATTTTCTTAACTTTTGCTATGTTTTTATTTTAAGCCAATATCAAATGTCTAAATAAAGTAATTTAAGGATACAACGTTAGTTTGACACAATATAAACGTTTAAATTAATTTAAATTTTAATGTATCATTCATACTTTAAAAATAACCATTAATTAAAATTGTAACATAGCCTTCAAACAACTGTCATTTTGAATAAGATGTTTTCTATTTGTTTTTCTTAATAAAGTATTTTCTATCTGCACTCGCGAAAAATGTTATTTCATTTAGGGGCCATCGATATAATTTACAAGAATAATTTTAGAATTTCTTTTGTAACTTGTTTGCTACTTAAGTTTGATGAATTCGTAAATATAATTAATTATTAGTGAAAAATTTATTATTTTAATGAATATAATATATATTGCATTTAACAATCATGCGATTATACGAATATTCTTAATAACACAAAAAATAATCATATAATATCTTGAAAATTATTACAATCTATATAATAATATTCAAAATGTTTGATCTATTTATAATAAAAATAATAATTAATTCTAAAAAAAATATTTGAATAAATGAAATTTTGAAAAACAATAATTTTAAATAAAAGTATTTTATAGTTCATTTTTAGGACAGAATTCTTGTAAATAAAAGCAAGTGCGTTGATAGATCAGTTGGTTAGGCATTTGGTTTAGTTTGCGTTAGGTCGCGGTTTCGATTCCCCTTGGGTGCGTGAGATAATTTAACTTTAAGATAAGTATTGTAAATAATCATACTGAATTAAATATATGCATTTTCGTGATTAAATTCCGAAAACAGCTCATTTTTTACTAATGAAATATTTTTGAACACTATTTTTTTAGCTATTTAATCAATGAGATGGTTGATTATCTGATAAAAAAAAGTTACCAGAGCACATTTTAATGGATCGGACAGCGGGCGGGCGATATCGCCAGCAATGACGCGTACATTGCGCTGCTTATGTGCCGGCACGTTGGTCCGATCAATCGGACTGAGGTCCGGCACACGGCCTGCTATTATGCAGGCATTTTGTTATCTGGGTATATATATAGAAAGAAGGGGGGGGGTGACAAACAGTGGGACAGTTTAAACATTCATTATTTACAAAGAAAATTGAAAAAAACTGTTTTTGACGTACCAGAGTAAATTTTTTCTTGAAATACAATGCTGATTTTTATATAGATAGGACAGTTTTAAAAAAAAGTGTAATTGTTACTTCGTTTACTTATGTTTTTAAGTATCATATCCAATAATTTAAAATATTTTAAAATTTAAAAAACAATTTTTATTTAAATAATTTTTTGCGATTGCTTAATTTAAACAGTGAGACATTCAACACTGGGACAGGCAAAAATTTAAGTTTATGAAACGTGGATTTTGGCAACACTGATTATAAGTTGTGTCAGCTATATGCATGCGCATTAATTCTTACACGTATGATCAGCAGCACTGTAAACGTTAAAAAAAATAATAGCAATTTTTTATATGAAACTTGACATCGTATTATAAAAATGTAAAATATTATTAAATTATAAGTGTTTTGCAACATTTGTTAACGTTATTTAATGCAAAAAATATATATTTACAAAGTATGAAGCAGAATATTATTATTGAAATAATTATTCGGTTCTTAATAATAGGTGTCCCACTGTTAAACACAAACCTTCAAAAAAAGAAAAATGTATCAAGTTTCTAAAACTTCAAATTTTTTATTTAATCACAATATAATCTTAATAGAATGTGTGCATTGTGTAGAAAAGAGTTCAAACTTTATAGTAATACCAAAAAGTGTTCAAAAATATATAAAATTGGCATATTAATATGTCTTTGAAAAAAAGTGTCCCACTGTTTGTCACTCTCCCCTATATATATATATATATATATATATATATATGTTTTTGTTTCCTTTTAGTTGTAAATGTACATTTTTAGTTTTTCTTTTCTAATAAGAAGATCAATAGAATTATAGTTATAGGAAGTGTAAAATTTTCCATTTTAAATATTCTTCCAAATATTTATTCTTAGAAAGTCGAATAAACTATGTTTAAAAGACTAATAATACATGTCTGTCAAAAAGCAAAACATACAATCGAGAGTGCAAGGAAGGGGTTTAAAAAAGTTGTCCCGTCATCATTCGACGGTCCTTCATCTTTCAGCAGTTTTATCGAAGGTATCAAAATTTGATTACCTACAGCGTCAAAGTCGAAGGATCCGATGACCTGTCTCCCTGACAATCATCGCGTTTCGTATCTTATCGAAATTGACAATCAATTCTCAATCTGATCAGAATTTCGTACATAGTTATACCATAAGAGAAGAAAGTTGATTCAAAATTATATTTCACAGGTATATTCTAGGGGAGTTTAGTCATGAGTGCACCACGTTTTATTTTTCGTGTCTAACTTTTTTTGAGGTAATAATTAGCAAACTTTGATACGCCGCTGAATAGGTAACACCGTCCGACACGATATTTGACCCATAAAAAAATTCAACATTTTCGGAAACTAGGACCCAAAAAAATACCCGTGTCTGGCCGTTTTGCTAGATCCAGTCGTTTGTGGTTTTTAGGGGCGAAAACAACCCCTAAATGAAAAGTGACAAGATATCTTTTAAAAATTATTAATATTTTATAAAACTTGGTATCTGGGGGTTTTCGGAGTCGCTGATTATTAATCTGTTGACAGATTTTCAAAATTCAAAATGGCGGATATAAAATAAAAAATTAATAACTTCTTTAAATTTTCACCGCCATATTGGATCCGACATTTTGAATTTTGAAAATCTGACATCAGATTAATACTAATACTAATTTTAAAAGAGTGTTAAGTTGTAGTTTATGAGCGTTTGCGGATATAGATTTTTAACATCAATAACTTTGTTATATTTTATAATAAAAGATTCAATAATAGATCAATTGATTCGTTTTTAAATATTCTTCAAGTTGTACATAATAATTTTAAAGTTACATAAAGATTTTTTAATAAATAATGCAAAAAAGCAGGTTTTTCAAAATTTTCAATTTCAAAATGTCAATAACTTTGGATAGAATAACAATAGAATGTTCGATAATAGCTCAAAAGATGCGTCTTAAAAAACTCCACAAAATTAAAGAAAAATATTCCGAAGTGTCGTAACATTCTTTTAAAGTTATAGGCATAAGACGATTTTTCAAAAATTTTAAATGCAAAAAAAATAA